CAAATTGTTGTGTTGTTGATTGTGCCAGGGTAAAACTGGAGTTTGGGTACTTGTGTATCTACTGAAAAAGGATGAGCTACTTCTGGACAGCCGGGCATCGGCTGGCCTGTCAAACTGCACGGATAAGCCCTGTGACCATTGATTTGACTGTCTCGACCAGCACTCTATGTGGTACGGTATCTGTGCACCGTATGTGCCGGATACGGTGTGGATATGGAGATTCCATACATGTACGCCGGAGCCATCTGGCTGGATTTAACGGCCGTTATTTTCGCCTGGTTTACTCTGAATTTTGGCATTTTATATGTTTTTTTTCGGATTTATTTCCAAATTTGAATTTGAATGTGAATTTCATGTTTATAAAGTCGTGTTCGCTCATTATCCACATGTCCTTTGCGTCTCTGTGTTTTTCACTGTTTTTATTTGACATTATCTTTCTTTACGGAGTTGTTGTTCCTGTTCATTTTGCTACTCTTTCTTTTTCCCTCCCCTTATTTTTATTTATCGCCTTGGTTGGCAATCACCCACTCTTAACATTGGCCGGTGTTTCCACCGAGTCTTGAGATGTTGTAATAAATATTTATATATATAAAAATTATACTGTTGTGAATTCCAGCGGAAATCCAAGAGAGCTCGATACCGGGAAGGTAGAGCCGTGACACACTAGTCAGAACAACAGATGGGTGGTCAGTCACAACTTAAAGTTTCATGCCAGTGACTGATCAAGCCATCTGTTGTTCTGACTAGTGTGTATAACAATTTATATAATATATATTCGCCGGAAGTGGTCAAGTGGTTACCCGATGCATGGTTACATGCACAGAGATTTTCCTCCAAAATAAATTTGCTGGATATTTTTGAATTGCTAGAATACATGACGTATGGCTATGCACAAGTCCTCGACCAAATATGCTTGCGCATATTTCCGCATATTTTGTGACACAGTTCATATATGGCATATTGAGCGACAAAGGGAATATTGGAATGAAGCCAGCATATAATTCAAATATTCTGAAGAAAATGAGGAAAAGTCATTCATATTATGGACAAAATGCGTTCAGAAATGCCTTTTATGAATGAATTTGGAATGGTTGAGGCGTTTGCTACATTCACCCATGGATGAACACTATCATTACGGTTGCTGGGGACACACCCCAGCCATACTATTCCGCATGTGTTTTGATTTGCACCATAAGCATGATAGCCGTGAAGCCAATGAATATTCCAAGGTTGTAATTTTACTGAAATGATCTACACTTTCTGCTTATGTCGAGCATATTTTGGCATATTTTGGCATATCTTTTTGTATATCTTGCTAAGCCTTTGGCATATTATGGACGTTTTCCCTGATATGCGACGAGCATAATATGCTCTTTTTTTTAGCATATTTGGGCGAGGCCTACTATGCACCGTATGAGGAAAACCCTGCGGCCTGATTAAGGGAGTCGTAAAATACCCGGTATTTTACGACTCTCTGGCCTGTCTCATGGAATCTCCATATCCATACCGTATACATGTACAGTCATGTTGTTTAACAGAGTGAAACAAACAAAGCAACAACAATAACAATACAACAATAATTCAACATGTGTAAACTAGAACAAGGTTTAGATATGTATCTAACACCTTGTACATGTATACAATCATGTACATGTACGTAACGGATATGGAGATTCCATGATTCCGAGGGGTTCTTCAGCTCCTTATAAGAACGATTGTCGGCCCCAACAGCCTGTGCAACTTGCATTGACTCTGAGCAGTTTCAATTGTTTCTCATTCGTTTCTCTTGATTAACCGCAAAACTGAAACACTTCAACGTTCCCTTCAGTATTGAAAATGGCCGCTCCCCGTAAATTTATTATTCCACCTGAGGAAGTATTGGATTACAACGGTATGCTCGAGGGGATAGTATTCCTTGACACCATCATCATCGAGTTCTGTCAGGGGCGTGGAATCGAGCTAGTGGCACGTTATGGCTTGATTGCTAACGTTCATGTGTGTCCAACGTGCAATCAACGCTGTACCTTTTCAGTGTATAACGGAGGCATTGATGGATATCGTTGGCGATGCCAACGTGACAGCTACGTCAAGAGCGTTCGTGTTGGCTCATTCTTCCAACGGAGCCATTTGCCTCTTGATTTATTGATGAAGATCATCGTCTTCTGGGCCAAGCAAGAGCCGCAGAAGGAAATTACAAGGTGTTACAAGGTGACGGAGAAGCCACTCCTTGATTGGTATAATTTTCTTCGAGACGTGGCAGGTGAGTACCTCACCAATAACCCATACCATCTCGGAGGCTTCGATGATGAAGGCAAGCCTCGGGTGGTGGAAATTGACGAGTCGAAATACTTTCACCGGAAGTACCATCGCGGTCAATGGAGAGATGGCCACTGGGTCTTTGGTGCAATCGAAAGGGACACCGGAACTTGCATCATGCAAGTTGTTCCGGATCGCACGGCAGCAACACTGACTGCCCTAATAGCTCAGTGGCTCCTCCCCGGGACACGCATCATGTCGGATGGATGGGCCGCATATGCCAATCTCTCGACGATACATGGGGGCATCTTTCAACATGATGTTGTGATTCATGAAGCTAACTTCGTGAACCCCAATGACCGCGATGTCCATACCAACAACGTGGAGAATATGTGGATGAGAGCAAAGCGGCAGCTGAAACGCATGTTCGGAACATCTGACACCTTATTTCCCACATACTTGGTGGAATTTATGTGGCGTGAGCGGTTCAAGGAGCACCAGGATCGGTACTTCGAATGCATGGTGCATTGCATTCGACAATCATACCCTGTGCCATCCGCTTGACCAGTGACCACATCTATTTTCAGTTCCGCTTTCCCAAAATGTTAAAATAAATTTTGTAGAAGAGGTGTTCTGTTTTGGGTGTGCTGGTGCATGAGTTCCCACGGGAATGGATGGACATCCTTTTTGTCAAATATCCGGCGATTGGCCGCGGGAAGTTAGTTGGGAATTCCGGCCGTCGCGGGAAGAGCATGATCTTTGCTTTTAATAGATTTGGGGTTACTTTGAGATTGATGAAGAATGGGAAAACCAAGTCACAAAGTCTTTTCTTCGCTTGTTCTCCTGAGCAATCTAAAACTTAGTGCAACTAAAAGCAAGAATCATTGTAATCGAAAGAAGAATAGAAAATACTTCAAAATAGCCCAAGTACTTAGTTTACAGTGTACTTCAAAATACTCGCTACCTTTCCTAGGGAAAACAGCCTGAATCATGACTTGTAGGCAAAGTTTGCCGGTAATTCTCTAAGCAAAATATCGGGAATTTTTACAGAAAAAAATCCATCAATTTTGAAGTAAAGTTTCGAAAATATCACGAAACCTGGAAGATCTACCGAAATCTATCTAACCGAAAAAATCATATAAAATGCCAAAAATTCAAAGCAAACCTGGCGAAAACAATGACCGCTAAAACCAGCCAGATGGCTAACATGTAATCTCCATATCCACACCGTATCCGGCACATACGGTGCACAGATACCGTACCATAATGTGCTGGCCGAGACAGTCAAATCAATGGTCACAGGGCTTATCCGTGCAGTTTGACAGGCCAGCCGATGCCGGGCTGTCCAGAAGTAGCTCATCCTTTTTCAGTAGATACACAAGTACCTAAACTCCAGTTTTACCTGTGCCAGTATCACATCATCCTCCTGGGGTTAGTTTTCTCAAATTCCCAAAGGATGGAGACCTGGCAAAGCGCCGAGATGTTGCAATGCGTCGTGAAAATTTCAAGCCTATTTTCGCAGCACGAGCTATGTTTGCTCGCTGCATTTATGATCCAGAGGGACTTGAGAGCTGAGTTTTGACGAGTACGCCGTCCAGGAAAGCCCTCATCAGTGTACCAGTGCCCTCCGAACCGTGAGCCTCCAGCAAAGCGAACTCAACAAGCTGCAACTGAGAAAGCAGGGCGAGATACGTCCCATCAGGATCAGAAGAGTACATCACCCCATCAACTCCGACTGCAGCTAGCTGATGAACGATATTACCCCAGTAACTTTGCGCATACCAGTACTCAAACTGTGCACATCTGTCATCAACTGGGACGCAAACAGACAGACCCCCAGCAAGTACGAAGGTTACAGAACTGTTTGCTTGCGATGTGCAGGCAGCATGCGCGACGAACTGTCTCACCAATCCTGCCAAACTGAACCAGTGTAAGTTGATTGCGTGGATATGTCTCTATTTATAACAGCTACCCTACTTCTAGGCATGGTTGCATGAATACCATATCACTCAGAGCAGTTGTTAGAAGTCTGGACAGCCTTGGAATAGTGCAAGTAAAGTGAAACAAAAATATATTACACTCCGAGTTCCACGCTTGCGGGATCACCAGGCCAAAAAAAATCTAATTTCGAACAAGGAATGGGTTCTGGTTGTATGCGAAAGAAAAGTAAGTGAAGACCTATTGTGCAAGGAATACAGTGGGAACTACACATATTATACACATGCACTCACACCATCACCCACATGCGCGCGCGTGCGTGTGCGTGCACACACACAAACACAACAACACACACACACATACGCACCCACATACTCAAACTCACTCGCACGCACGCTAGCCTAAGGATAGTACATATGCTGTAGTAGTGGTATACTTAGTGAAATGACTATGTGTACATCTAATGACGCCGCCACTCCACGCCAGAAGACAACAAACATCTGCTGCAACATTTTTGCTCCCGTCTCTTATGGGCAACACAGGGAATGAAACGAACAATGCAATTGAGAACAAGAGTCGTCCTGTACGGTGAAGTTTCCATTTTCTCATACAGCAGTATATTGTCTAAGCAAGTGTGTTTTCTCCACATTCTTTTTGCCATGCAGGTATATCACAGTGTCATGCCAAACTACATTCTCAAACGCATTCGTTTCTCAATTCTGGGGATGATTGGACACGCACATCTCGCAGCTCTTGACGACGTCAATGTCAACCGTCGCCACAGCACAACCAAAAAGACCGCGATAGGAAGGTATAAAGTCCAGTTCTCAAAGCATAAAGAAGACTGTGGCCAAATAGAAAATTATACGACAGAAAGAGCTATGAGTATGTTGACAAGCTCATGTGTGAGGTGGTAGCGGTTGCAAATGGCAACCTCCATGTTCCTGCCTTGGAGAAGCGTGTTTCCCTGCCAAATTCCAGGTGGAAGCCTCCTGAGAAGGCTGAGGTGGTGCAGGATTTGGATATCTTTGCCTGATGGTATTCACAACGCAGGCTGGAAGACGACAACGAACGTGCTTGCCCAATTTGCTGTGTACATAGTGTGTACTGCCTGTGTGCCGCATAGCGTAGAGATCTACACAAACACAGAATGTCATATGGAATGTGTATGATGAGTGCTTGTACACATACCACATTGCTGTACCGTAATAATTATTATAGTCAAATACTCATTTACTCTACATATGCGCTGTATTGCACCTACCGGTACCTACCTGCACTTTCAGTGCGCGCGCCATACTAATTTAGTGTCCACTGGTACAAAGATGGAGGGTCTTGTAGAATTTACCATAATTGCTGATTTCAAATTGAATTCCAATGATCTGGGGGATGAATACTGATTAGGACGCGTTCGATTACCTACTAGTACAGAGATGTCTTGGTCAGAAAGTACAGATTTCTTACTCTCCTGCCAGAATTTGTGCATTATTTTGGTGTACGCTTTCTTGACCCCACGCTTGTACGTTGCATGCCATGGTATACTAGAAAACGAGTTTATTGACAAAGTCTATCGCTTGAAACGATAAAGTATGGGTTCGGGTGTGATCAAAATTAATGCACCCATAGTGCTCATAAACTGTGTGCAGTGCTCTCTTCACCAACAGAACACTACCTACCATACTTTGTAGATCTTGTACCAATCCAAGGGAAAATGACAAAGACAAATGTGAGTCATGCATGAAAACTTGTGATAGCACGGTCTATAGTACAGAACAACGTTGTTCGTGCTATGCCTGACAACAATAATTAGTTACACACAAAACATTACGCGCATCGATCCTCACAAGATAAGTCAAGACATACTCGGAGCAAAGAGAAATTTGCTTGTGTCATGCATGAAACTTGTGATAACTACCAGTACAATGTCTTTCTTGTGCGACGCCTACTGTAGTGCGCCTGACAACAATAAATTTCCCCCAAAAAATAAGAAAAAGTGTATCATGCTGATACGCGATCCTCACAAGACAAGTCAAGGCAAACTAATTGAGGCTTACCTAATGTCAGACTCTTCTGTCACTGGCATTGGCGGCTTCTGCATGTCGAGATAACCTCGAAGAGCAGTGATGAGCACAGCCTAATGCAAGGATACGATCTCGTAATCTGCGAGGTCCGCTACGCAAGAAACCTTGGGCCGTCTTGTCGACAGCGACGGCAGCATCCTACCAGCAAAATCATTCCCGCGGGCTGGGCATGGCTATACACTTTTGTCCACGCTCGCACCAGTCGGAGTCCCAAACGAATCGAGATTCTGGTGGCCAAGCTACTCGTCTTCTGTCGGACGCAGCTGCTGACGCATCTTCTTCCTCCACATTTGTTACACGCGATGGCAGCTCCTCAGCAGAGTATCTGGGCTCCCTGCCCCAACCATACGCGGCGGTGGGCTGTTGGTCGTCCTCACTGGCCTCAGCATCGCTGCCTTCATTGCTGGGGACAGAGGATTGTTCGGAATCGCCCATCTTCCCTTGAAATACCAACTAAAATTAGTGCTTGTAGACTGGCGAAGAGAAACGACTTTGCCACAATGACGTAGGCAGCCCGTGATGATGTAACCAAATGGCCGCATGACGTCAGGGCGCGGCCCCCGTTTTTGCAATTTCAAAGTGAAATATCTCAAGAACGCTTCGTCGTAGAGACTTCGGACCAAGACCATTCGACTCAGCGCCCGAAACTCTACAGGCTATCAAAGTTTCATTTTTTCGTGGAGTTCCCCTTTAAGTTAGGCCCTTATCACACTGCATTCAAAAGTCGCGTTTGCGTCCGCGTTTTCTTGGGTTTTTTTTTTAGGAAATGCCATCACGTGACGTTATCGCGAGCGCGTTGGTTTCCAGACGCACAGCCGCAGACGCAGACGCAAACCAGGGGGGGGGGGAGGGGGGGGGGGGGTAGTCAAAACCAAATTGCGCAAACGCAGATCGGACTTTCTTTATCGCAGCACTCCCTGCATTGTTTTTGAGTGTTTTCTAGTGATTCTCAAGTATGCTTTTCAAATCTTCATTTCCATCTACTTTCTTTGAAGTCTCGATTTGACTCGCGATGGGAACTGTTTGTGCTTCCCATGGCCGACTGTCGTGAAGCTTTGCCTCTTGAGAAGCGACTACTACAATAATAGACTTTTTTCTAGGAGCTTGGCTCCCTCGACTGGCATCCATTTGTCCAGTGCTGTCGAATCCATCAAGGCAGTATCTAACGCTAGCAGTCAGTGAGTGGAGGATAGAGAACAATGGCCCAGTAGTCTACAGCTGCACCGACTGTGGACAGTTGTGACTTTTTCAGCTCCGTAGTGTTTGACAGCCCAGCCGGCAACAGGCCGGTCTGGAAGTAGGACAGTAGTATTAGTGGCAGTGTAGGGTAGCATAGGGTAGTAGGGTAGCGTAGTGTAGGGGTAAGCAGTCAAAATCAGGGAGAACCTCCCCGCCATGGGCGAGCTCGCAGGAGAGCCTGCGATGAAACTGCTCTGCTCCCTCCCGGGCATAGAGCAGACTCTGCTCAGCGTGCTGCAGACCCTGACGTCTCATATCAGCGAGTCGAGGGATCGTGAGGGTCGTCTCCATCAGCGTGTAGACGATCTCTCCGCGCAGCTCCTAGCCCTACGTGAGGAATTTTGTTCACTGCAGAAATCCGCCATTGTTGTTCCCGACAAGGCCCCTGCTAGTGTCAGCCCAAATTTTCCGGCAATTCTTTTGGCATAATATCGAAACATTTTAGAAAAAGAATTGCCCGGCATATTTGGAGCATAATTTCGATTTTTTGGAGATTTTCACCGCGCCAGAGGTACATGCGAGTATTGTACTAGGCCCATGCTCAAAACTAAATTCCTTTGCACGGCAGCTTGGTAATGAGCATTGTGAGGTCAATCTTCACACTTTAAAATGTGAACCCAGCAAAACCGAGCAAATTTCGATGTTTTTCTGAAATTTCTCCAAAATTTGGTCCAAATTTGCTGTTTTTGAAGCTGTCATCGAGCATAATCAGAGCAAAATATCGTCTTCGCCCGGAAATGCCAAGCATAATATCGAAAGAAGCGCAGCAAATTATGCGGCATAATATCGAAAAGTCTCGAGCAAATTTGGACTGACACTAGCCCCTGCACGATTTACTCAGCACCAAGTCCAAGGCGACAAATCTCGTACCCGTACGAAACCTCGTAACCGTCCTCCCGATCCCCAGCAGGGCCAGCCTGACCCAGCTGCAGCAGCAAACCAGCTCGACCCAGCCGATGCAGATGCTGGACAACAGTCAGGGCAGATCGACGTGGCCTCTGGCTCTGCACAACACGAAACCCGTACCCGTACGGACGACCCCGGCTTTGTCGATCCTGAGCCTGTGCAATCAGACTGCGAGAAGACCCACCCTATCATGGCCGCCATCAAGGATGACAGTTGGAAATTAGTTGCGGCGGGCCCGCCAAGAAAGAAGCGACCTGTGTTCTTTGTGGGCAACTTGAGCCCCGACTGTACGGTGGACAGCCTCACTGAGTTTGTACACCGTAGGTCGGAAAGCGTGGGGACGCCTGTCAAAGCCCACCAATGCAGCCTACACACAGCCGGAAACGGGAAAGTGTCCGCCAGGATATCAGTTGATGCCACCTGCAAGCTGACAGTGATGTCAGCCAATTTCTGGCCAAGGCCGCTCTACTGCAGGCCGTCGAGATTCCACACCTCCACAAATGCAAATGCGGCCAAAAGCATCAGCAGCAGCAAGAGCAGCAGCCACAACAAGCACAACAACAGCAGCAGCAGCAACAACGCCAACAACAACACCAGCAGCAGCAGCAGCACCAGCACCAGCAGTCGCCGCAGCAGCACCAGCAGTCGCCGCAGCAGCACCAGTGGTCACCGCAGCAGCACCAGCAGTCGCCGCAGCAGCAGTAGCGACAGTAGCACCAACCAGTTGGAAGCACTGCAGCATGATCAAGAGCAACAGCAACTTGGGATTGGCGCCACAATTAACGACTTCCTGAGCGCGAGTCGTGGCCTGTCCACTGCCGCTGCCGGCACACCTGTAACCCCCCTTCACAGCCACAAACGTTCCTCTGCAGAACGGTCACCAGATTCGCTGCCGCAGGATGCAAAGCGAGCTGACCAGCATGGTGCGCAGCCACCCCAGCAGGATACACAGACCCACGAGCCCACCACCCAATGTAGGCCATGCACCAACCCAAGCAACGCCAACGGTCACAATGAAAACTAAGGCCCCCTCACTCCGTCTTCTGCTCACGAATGCATTCAGCATTTACAACAAAATGGATGAGCTTCAGCATACCCTGAAAAGCCTGCATGTAGACATCGCTGTCGTCACCGAGACCAAACTATCGCCCGGCAAGGCTTCAGTTGCGGAAGTCTCAATCCCTGGCTATTACCCCCCAATACGTCGAGACCGGACAGCGCAATGCGGCGGAGTCGCCATATGGCTGAAAGAAGGGATGGCGTACAAACAACTGGACATCAACTCTGAGTGTGAAACTCTTTGGATTAGTGTTGCTGCACCGTCAGGCATGAAATTTGGCATCTGTGCTGCCTACAGACCTGGGACGAGTGCAGACAGCGACTGCAGTATCTTCACCCAGCTGGAATCTGACATCGACAAAGCCCGGAAGTCCTGCTCACACATTATTGTGGCAGGAGACTTTAATGCCCACAACCGGGAATGGCTTGGAAGTCCACGCACCTCGGCTGCTGGAGAAGCTGCGGAAGACATGTGCTGTGTACATGGTCTCCGACAACACGTCACCTCAGCCACTCGTGGAGAAAACATCCTTGACCTCGTCATGTCAGATGTGCCTGGAACTGTGTCTACCACCACCCAACCACCTCTTGGCAGATCAGACCATGCTGTTGTCATAGCCGACTTCCAGCTTACTGCATCTGTAGACCAACCCACCACTCGTACAGTATGGCGATACCAGCGGGCTGACTGGCCCCGCCTCTCTGCCTTCCTCCGGACTACTGACTGGGACACAATAATCGGCGACGACCCTAACATGTCATGTGAGCTTCTGACCATGCGAATCACTGAGGGAATGCAACGCTTTATACCATCCAAGGTCTTCAAGACCAGACCGCAGGACCCAATCTGGTGGACGCCAGAATGTTGTTGTTGTTGTTGTGTTTATTTTAATTCGCAAACCAAACGGGCAGATCTGCCTAATGAAAAGGTGGCGAATGCAGATAGAAAGCAGTAATAAATGAAATTGGGGACTGATGTAATTAGGATAGAGGTGGAGAAAAACTAAGCCAGCTGATCATCAAACAGGACGTTTGGTACTCTAGGTACTAAGGCCAGTAAGTGTGTGCGGGATCATGCTGGCGCGGAACTGGCGGAGCGTGGAGATGGCACGTACATCACTGGGTAATGTGTTCCACAGCTGGGCGCCCCGGAACGCGAGGCAACCCTTGCCGAACCTGGTGGAAACTGGCGGTTGGCGCAGACCCATGGTGGAGTGCAACCTAGTTGGGCCAGCTGACGAAGGAACTAGGAGGGCTTGCAGTTCAGAACTTGCGTGCTCATTCCGAGACCTCCAGACCAGAACGATGAACTTCTGCCTGAATATCTCGGATACTCTGTAGGTGTCCAATTGCAGCAGGAGGGTACGCGCGGAGGTGTGATGCGAGAGTCCGAAAACCGCCCTTGCCGCCAGATTCTGCATGACTTGTACCCGATCCAATTGGTTGGTAGTAAGAAGCGGGGAAAACGCAGTGGATCCGTACATCAGGCCAGACATGATGATCGCTTTAAAGTAGAGAACTCGGCTCTGATGAGTCAAGCAGCGACGCAACCTCCATAGTGCTCCGATCCTCTGGGCCAGTCGAGCGGTGCAGCGATCAACATGGGGCGTCCATGACAGATCCGAGTCGAGGAGCACTCCAAGATACCTGGCCGCAGTAACGACAGGAATCGACGTTTCATGACAGTTTACATTGATCGTATGCTGGGGCTGCTGAGGCTGCCTGTTGGGGTATACAGGGATCACGTGGCTCTTGGCTGCATTCAAAATGAGACCACGGGTCTGCAACCAGTCAGCAAGTGCAGAAAAGATGAGCGAAGCGAAAATTCTGAATATTTACCTTGTTACAGTCGTGGGGGGAGACTGTTGACCATATTCTGGCATGTTGCCCCCGTGTTGGCACGGACAGCGAGTTTGTTTCGGGGCCAGCAGAAGCACAATCACCTCTTGCAGCTGCGGTGACTTGTTAACGTCCAAGCCATTTCGTGACTCTGCCCACAATTTGTTCATGGATTCGCTCCAGGCAATATCGCCATTCAACGTCTTTTCTTTTCTCTATTCTCTTTACCAGGCGTGGGCCATCCCCTGGACTATCAAAAACTATCAAAATGGGTGCCTTGTTATTTTTCTGTTTCAGTCCATCACAGATTACCATTTTCAGAAAACCAAAATATGTAATACTGAACTAGCGTTTTTTGAGACGATCATTGCTTTTTTTGAGTTGATCATTGCTTTCTAGAGTTGATTACAACCTACATCTGGACTTGGTAACGTCCAAGCCATCTCGTGACTGCCCACAATTTGTTCATGGATTCGCTCCAGGCAATATCGCGCCATTTAATACTGAACTGCACTGTGTCCCCATTGTACATGTACATGTACTTCCTGTGAAATATCCGTCTTTTCTTTTCTCTAATTTTTCTCTTTACCAGGCGTGGGCCATCATCCCCTGGACTATCAAAATGGGTGCCTTATT